CACTAAGTGTATTGATTATGGTTCTTGATACTATATCAGACAAAGCAATTATCTTACTATACCTACAAAAACGTTTTTCCTGTGAGATGACAGAGTGACGTCATCACATCACTCTGTGTCCCACAGCTCCTTCCCCCTCAGCCACCCGGCCTCCTCCCTCTTTCTTCCCTGCTGATAACCCTTTAATGGGGTCATCAACCTATGGCTTATGAGCCTAAATATGGCTCTTTGACTCCTCAACAGCAGAAGAAGGTAAGCTGCTGCTGAGCTTGTGGGAGGAAGGATGGGGAGGCAGGACCCACATGGTGACTAGGCAGGCGTCAGTGGGACCCACAGGAGCAGACTGGGACTGAGGTACACTCCATCCCCCTGAACTGCCATACAGCAGCTGGCTGAAGCTCTGGCTGCCGCCATGTGGCGGGTGGCTGCTGGTGTTCTAAAAACAGCTGCTCTTACCTGCTCGGTAGAGTGGGGGGGCAGTGGCAGGACCTGTGCCATGGAGGGCTGTGTGGTGCGGGGTCAGGACTGAGGTGCACCCTGGCCCCCTGAACCACCCCACAGTGGCTGAAGCTCCAGCACCAGCAGTCACCACATGGTGGGCGGCTACTGGTGTTTTAAAAACAGCTGCTCTGTTGTGTCAGCAGCGGGACCTGCATGGAGGGGAAAGAGAGAAACTACTGGGCTGGCAGAGTGGGGGAGGGAGAAGGGGCCCTGGCTGGGGGAAGGGGGGCGGGGTTAGGGGGAGGGGAGATGGAGAAGGGGCTCTGGCTGATGGAGGGGAGAGGGAGAAAGAGCCCTGGTTGGGGGGTAGAGCGGAGAGAGAGGGTCCCTGGACTGGGGGGAGAGAGGAGAGAGAGGGTCCCTGGACTGGGAGGAGAGAGTCTTGGCTGAGGAAAAGGAAAGGGACCCTGGATGGCACAGCCGCAGCCTGGCCCTCCCTGGTCGCCATGGGGAGAGCCGGGGTTGCCTATTCCCCATGATGGGGGGCTTGGCGAGTGCAGCAAGCAGGGGGTGCAGCCCTCTAGTCATGGTTTATTGAGATAAATGGAGAAGGGGGAAAAGATAGAGAAACTTTGTCTTACTTTACTTCTGGAAGACAGAGTCCACCCAGAGGTTTCATGCCCTTGAACTCCTGCACTCCAGCTTCACACCTTGGCTGTGTCCAGACTCAGGGTTTTTTTTAAAAAAAGTAGCCTTTTTTCGAAAAAACTTCACCTGCGTCTAGACTGCAGCCGTGTTCTTTCGAAATTAAATCGAAAGAACGCGGCTTTTCTTTCAACGGCAGTAAACCTCATTGCACGAGGAAGAACGCCTTTTTTCGAAAGTGCTCTTTCGAAAAAAGGTGTTCTTGAATGCAAACGGGTTTTTCGAAAGAGAGCATCCAGACTGCCTGGGTGCTCTCTTTCAAAAAAGCGGCTTGCTGTCTAGATGCTCTTTTTCGAAAGATGCTTGCAGTCTAGACATAGCCCTTCAGTTAACTTTCCCGAGGGTCCCCAGGTAGTCACAAACCCAAGATCTGCTTATGTATTGCAGAAGAAATGAAATATATCAACCGAAGGGTTTATGAAGAGGAGGACTTCAATGTGCTCACCTTTGAGGATCTTCTCTGCTTCTCATATCAAGTTGCCAAAGGAATGGAGTTTCTTGAGTCAAAATCGGTATGTTTCACCTGTGAGCAATGTTTAGAGAGTGCAGAATACAAAGACAGATCAGATTAACAGCAAGCTATCTGAGAGAGAAAGCTGTGAATTGACAGGTTTAAATCATATCTTTATAACAAGTTTTTAAATAACCACAGTAAAATACTCCAAGATTGTGCCTTAAGGCTTGACCATGAGCCACAGATGGTGCATATGTGATGAGGTGTGCATTACCATTTTGTGTAGCGCTGGGACAGAGCAAACAGGGGGCCCTCCACACCCCTTCCTTCTGCAGTTCTCTCCACCCCTCTCCCAGCACTCCTGCCAGGGAGTGAGTTGGGAGTGCAGGGACTTTTTCCACCCTGCACTCCTGCTAGAGAGAGGGATCAGAGCATGGGGATTTGTCCAACTTCGTGGATCCCTTCAAGGGTGCCCCTTTTTCAGAGTCTCCCAGTTTTCTAGGGCCCCTGGCATGGGCTCCATTACCCCAGTGTCTAATCCGCCACTGTATGCTACACCTCCTTGGGAGTAGCCCCAGCACCAGGAGACGCTGTGACCCAGAAACACTCCCCTGAGGCACAATTCTGTCCATACTTCCCCTTCCTCTGGAGAACTGATTTGCTGCTGGTCTGTACCGGCAGCAGATTGTAATAATCTCAGCTGTATGTTAGGGGTTCAGTATCACAGCTGGTGTGTTGTGAGGCAGAGTCCATGCTCTGCCTATTTCCCACCTACTCCCTGCTCACCTGCTTTGGGAGGGCAATAGCAGACATCCAACACCCACTCAGTCCTGTGCACCTGGACCTCAGGTCTGAGAAGCCCATTGAGGAGCATAAAAGTGGGTTCTTACCAGGTCACCCGGGGGGGAGGGCAAGTGGGGCCCCCAAAATTGCTTTGCCCCAGACCCCCTGAATCCTCTGGGCAGCCCTGGTTCTTACTACTCCTTCCTCACATCCATGAGCACATGGTCTAAATCTAAGGCACAATCTAGTCCTACTAAAAGTAGCAACTGTAAATCTTACACTACACAGTAACAATATGTTGCTATGTATGCTAATCAAGCAAGGAAATGTATGGAAACTAGGATCATTGCTCCTTCCCCTCCCAAGAACAATCATCACTTCACATCTCCTGGGCGCCTAGCCACATAAAGCTAAAGCAGATATGGAGGTAGTTTGTGGCTCACAGCAGCAGCCAAATCTTTGCTCCAGCAAAATGGAGAGGAAGATACGCATTAGTAGAAGGAAAAGAAATATGCATTACAGCAAGTGCTAGATCTGTTCTCTAGCCTATCCATCACCACCAACTCCCTAAGGTTCATTTCCAGTGGGGCCTGAGATTGGAGGAGTTAATTGTTAATTAATTAATAAAATGGTGATTGGCCACCTGAGGTTGGGGTTTAGAGTCTGTTTAAAAGAAGTTGTACCATCCACTCTCTGTTTATACCATGGCCCCTTCTCTGCTTGCACATAAGGTGGGGTGTTTTACACTGGATGCACACTGCTGTTTCCCACCTGCAATCTGTTTGGCAACTTTGTGCTGCACAAAGCCTTTTGTCTCCCTTTTTCTGCTTCATTCAAGATAATGCAACATTTTCTTGCCCTCTGCCTTCTCCTCCCCAGGGCATAAGGTGCTACTGCAGGTGTAGAAATATCAGTATGGAACCTGGATATGCTAAGGCAAAACATACACGCTCAAACCACCCTCTTTGTCCCTCAAGGTTTGGCCATGCCTTTTATAGGCATAAGAGAGGGCCTGAAATGGGAAGGGGGTGGAGGTAGCTACTTCAAGTCTCCTACAATCCAAAGTCTAAATATAGCTACACCTTCATGTTTGTAGGAATAACAATAGCTACATCTCCGAGGCAACCAGGGGCAGGCCACGGTGTTGCCACTTGCTCAAATGTGCAGTACAGGATCTCATTCACTGTGTCAATCTGCTTTTGTTACTGTGGTCATATAACCAACCAATAGACAATTACAGGCTTCACTTTAACTCTTAATTTACAAATTCATATTAGGCAATCTCAGCCATCTCTGCTTTTTGGCCAAGTTAAAATCAATTGCAAATCATGTCTTGATTTTTTGAGTTCTATATTTTAAGCAAAGAGCAATTAGGGCCCAATTCATTTCACAATGAGTAATCCTTGAGTAAACCCACTGGTCTCAACTAGGAGAGCATCTCTGGAGAGGCATGAGTTTACATCAACAGATAGTTTGAAACGATAGTTCTAAATATCCTCTACTTTTCACATTGGCTCTCAAGTGCTTGATTTGTGTATATAAGCAAATAAGATGTTTACATTTTCATGTGATGCTCTCACTGTTTTTTTTTTTATAAAATCCCTTTGATCTCAAGGATCCTGACTAGCAAATATGTAGCTCTCTGTCATTAAACACACCCTCTCTTTACTTACTACAGTTCAATCTCTCCTCTTTCTTTAGGAAATTAGATAGTAGACTCTGATATAGGTGCTGGAACTCAGTGCTGGGGGTGCTGCTGCACCCCCTGGCTTGAAGTGTTTTTCTTTATATGCAGGATTTACAGTTTGTCAGTAGCTGTCAGAACCCTCGCTATACAAATTGTTCCAGAATCCCTGGACTCCGGGCATAATACATCACCAACAGAGGTGGATTGAGATTTATTGGAGCCCTGGGCTAAAAGAACATTTGGGTCCCCCAGGTCCCTCTTGCCACAAACAGCTCTAATCTCAGCCTTTTCCCATTCCTCATAATAAACTGGTAATATTATTCCATAAACACCTAGTAACTATGAAGTTAGTTCTGACATCCTGTCTTCCATCGTATATGTTAGAATTGCACAAACAAGTGATTTCACTTTTCTATGAAGGCAGACAAAGTTGTTTGAACCAGAAAAGGTGCAAGATTTTTCAGTGGAAGCCACAAACAATGAGTAACAACTTCCATCTGATGTAAAATAATGCATTATACACTAACCCATTCTTTCTTTACAGTGCATCCACAGAGACCTGGCTGCTAGGAATGTATTAGTGACTTGTGGCAAAGTGGTGAAAATATGTGACTTTGGCCTAGCTAGAGATATAATGAATGACTCTAACTACGTCATCAGAGGCAACGTATGTTCTTTCTTACTTTATATTTTTGACATAATTGTGAAAACTATAAGACTGGTTGAGCTGATAAATGCACATACAGTTGGATAGTTATACTAGGGTTTAGTTATACTTATGGCTGGACATACAATACAATAATCTCACTATGTCACTGAAATGTTTTCGAGCCCTTAGCAAATGAAAATAGTAGATTTGGTATTAGCCTAATTCAAGTTGGACTGGACACCTGCAAATGTTAGTATCTAAACATTAGATAACTTAAAAATATGAAGTTGTGGGCCAAATCCCTAGTTGGGGCAAAGCAGAATGGCTCCGAGGAAGTCACTATGACATAACCAGCACTTTATAAACCCCACTTAGTAGAGAAAAAGGATGAAGAAAGAAAGTGAGCTGAGTGATCGTGGATTTCAACATGAGCTCGAGAGTCGGAATTTTTTTGGTGGGAAGGGATCATTAGAACTTGCTCTGCTAATGAATGTATTATTTTAGACTGATGTAAAGGCTTGGAGAGGCTTTTGAGACAGGGACGTGTGTAAGGCTAGAAAATAAAAGTTCTGCAGCCACGTTCAAGAATTAATAGGGACACTTCGGGAGGCTCCTTTGATCTGTGTGAGAATGAAGACTTGGATGTGGTTTGCCAGGCATGGAGGACAGCAAGCCAACCACTCAGAGAACTTTGTTAATCAGCTCTCTATTTATATAAAGCTAGACTGTAAGCTTACAACCAGCCCTGAGTGAGGGGCAGCAGATAGTCACACTAGTCCAGGAGCAGGCCAGAGAACAAACTGTGCCAGAGAATCACAGCCCCTCTCCTGATTCCCCATTGCTCTGGGGCTGGAGCAAATTACTTCACCCTTAGCTGCACATCCTGTGAGTAGGGTGTCAAAGCAGAACTCCTCCCATTTCCTCCGTCTCCACTTGCTCACCTCACAGTGGGGAATAGTGAGAAGTCCCTGCTGTCCTCCTCACAGCCAGCATCACCTTCTGAGCAAGACTCTGAAAAAGAGGAAGAGGGGGCTTTAATCTCCTGCCTAGCAATGTCAGGATTATGAGTGGGCTGACCACAAAAGGGAAACCTGGCATGCAATAGCCTCACTTACAGCTCTAGAAGCTGTTTGCAGCAGGTATTTAAATGAGGCCCTATTTTTCTGTCTGAAAATAGACTTTGTCCATGGGTAATACGTGCTCCAAGGAGTCAACTATATTGTGTGTAGAAAACACTAATCGAGCCCCCATTCCGTCTCTTCGTACAGGCTCGGTTACCAGTCAAATGGATGGCTCCTGAAAGTTTATTTGACAGGATTTACACAATTAAGAGTGATGTCTGGTCTTATGGAATATTACTGTGGGAAATATTCTCTCTCGGTATGTATCAACATTTCACAACAGAAGAGCACCACTTTTCCCTGACTCCTGTATGCTAATTTTTCCACAATGTTTTTGACAGGTGTGAATCCTTACCCTGGAATTCAGGTTGATTCAAACTTTTACAAACTCATTCAAAGTGGATTTAAAATGGACCAGCCATTTTATGCTACAGAAGCAATGTAAGTGTATGTTCTGAATACTGCATGGGGTGGGGATTAATTTTTAATCGAGGTTTTTTTTTCCTAATGCTGCCTTTATATTTATTCCACTCCTTTGCCCTCTACCTACCTAAAAGAGATATTCAAGGCAAAACCACCTCTTTCTCTAAATCTGGTGCAGGATATTTGTTAACAAAGCTTTTGTCCAGAAGCAGAAATTGTTATAATGTCATGATCAGCAGTGAACATTATATTTGTTTGAAAAGACCGACTTACTACCTATTTTCAACTAGTCCTTACATTCTCAGAAAACTTCCTCTGGGTATGGTATTTCAAAATCTTTAGCCCTGTTCATGGAGGGTTTTTATTTTATAAAGCAAGGGTTACACAAAATCCATTTTAGTTACTAAGTTAAATGCTTATGAAATTTTTGTTTTTACTGAACCCATCTGTGTCCTGTTCAATTCCAGGGATTTGTCAGTGTCTTTAGAAGAAGCAAGTAATAACACAAAAGGGCATGGGGTGAGCGGCAGATAGGAGATGTAGGGACATTGTATCTGTTGTGCTTCCCAGTCTGGACATTGCAATCAATGTAGTGTCTGATGTGGATATTCAAATTTCATGGAGATCACACATTGCAGTTACCTCTGTCTGAGTACCAAAGAGGAAGTACCCTAGCAGAGGGAAGAAGGCAGAGGGCTGCAAGACAGTGAGCATGAAAGAAAGGGAAGGGGTTTGGTTTCTCTACTCCCCATTGCAGACATTTTGACATTTCCTGGGACGGCTTGTAGATATGTTGATACCCATGAGATCAGGTCCGTGTATTGCAGATATGGGCAGGGCAATGCCCTCAGACTCTCTGGCTTTTGTAAAGTCAGGGAAATTTCATGTAGACATGACCATGTTTATGAGCCTAGAACAGATTTCTGTAGAACTTATAAGCCCCACAAGGACTTACATTGACCTTACAAATTCTCAAAGGGCTTCTGCAGGGATTCTAAACTCTGCCTGGATTCCTGCAAAGAGTATAAACTCTGTGTGAATATCATATAACCACACAACGACTTTTGCAGGGTTATGTTCCACAAAGATTCCTATTGAAAGTATGACCGTGACATTCACTGGGGCCAGGACCAGCTGCATATACACAGTCCTCCATTTCTTGGGAGGGAAATGTTCTCCTAACCTAGGTGCTGGAACTAGGAGTGAGTGTTAGGGGGTAGGCTGCTGCAGCACCCTCTGGCTTGAAGTGGTTTCCATTATATCCAGGTTTACAGTGTTGTTCAATGGCTCACAGCACCCCCACTATACAAATTGTTCTAGTGTCCCTGTCTCCTAATAGTCTCAGTGTGGAGGTTCTATCTATTGAATCACGTTAACATTGAGAAGCTGTCATATGATATCATATGTAATATAATAAATAAATAACCCAAAGTGAAATCCTGGCCCCTATTCAGTCTGAACAGGAGATTTGCCATTGACTTCAAGGGGTAAACTACACAGTTTAAGGTATGGACTCTCATTCTACCAAATACATTGCTCTCTGTCATTAAACACACCCTTTCTTACAGTTCAATCTCTCCTCTCTTTTTAAGAAATTGATAGCAGACTCTGATATAGGTGCTGAGACAATCAAATAAATCAAACTTGAATTCTTTATCAGTATCTCTCTGGTATTCCATAATACACTCTGTTGACCTTTGGCATTTCTGTAGTGTCAATTACCACAGTATTTAACCACTCTTACTTTTTTTTTTTTTTTTGGAAACTCACATAGTTCTTCTTTGTTCTTGCAGATACTTTGTAATGCAGTCCTGTTGGGCACTGGACTCTCGAAAAAGGCCCTTCTTTTCACAGCTGCGTCCTCTCATAGAACGTCAGCTGGTTGATGCAGAAGGAGCGGTATGCAATCATGCAAACAAGAAAAATGCTCTGTTTTGTTGTTCTGTGTTTCAACCCTATCTTTAGAGTGCATAATAAGGGGTTTGGAAATGATGGCTCCTATTGCTAACACAGTTCACTAGAGAGGAACCTGTTTTTCCCCAGGGAAGCACCATCATGCCATAGAGCTGGTTTCTTCCCTAGCTAAGCTATTCACCCGGTACTTAGTTGTGACTTAGGAGGAATCCTTTTTGCAGAAATTAATGCATGTTGCTCTAATAAGCCACCTGGGACATAGAGACTTCCTCTTTCCTGCCTCTTTCTCTAGTTCAGTGCAGGAAGGACACAAACTGTCTCTCTGTGCCCACAGAAACTAGTTCCCCTTTTGTAAAAGTTAATGCAGCTGGCTTTGTGGTCTACTGGCAATGCTGAGTGCTGCTCTATGTGCAGATCTGAGGTGGGATATATTGCAGCATCCATCGGGGCTGGGAGTGTTGTGGGTGAAACATGCTTAAGCCCATTATTTGGGGAAGCATTATTTGAAGCAAAACGTTCAAGATGCTGGCAGCTAAGTGGCATCTGCTAAAACATGCGCTTGCATCCATTGTCATGCACAAAATTCACATGTGACTTGATTGTAATTAGTTCATTAGTAACTTCAATGGGAGTGCTGTTATATATTTGCATGCACAAATACATTGCACATATTTGGCAGCCACAACTCAGACAACTAGTTTTGAAAATATGGTCTCAGGTAGTTATTAACTTTACAAGAGAGTACTTAGCAAAGATTTGTTTTCCCAAGGGTCTGTCCTGGGACCAATCCTATTCAATTTATTTATAAATGATCTAGAGAAAGGAGTAAACAGTGAGGTGGCAAAATTTGCAGATGATACCAAACTGCTGAAGATAGTTAAGACCAAAGCAGACTGTGAAGAGCTTCAAAAAGATCTCACCAAACTAAGCGATTGGCCAATTTAATGGCAAATGAAATTTAATGTTGATAAATTAATTATGATTAGGACTAATTTGGGTCTCCCTTGCTGTAAGTGACTTGTTACACCAACATATGAACACCACTACCCCACACAGCAGAGAGCCATCGGCTATGTATTTGGGTCAATGCAGTGACTGGGGAGACACCGTGTTACTTATAAGAACGGTCATACAGGGTCAGACCAAAGGTCCATCCAGCCCAGTATCCCGTCTGCTGACAGTGGCCAACGCCAGGTGTCCCAGAGGGAGTGAATCGAACAGGTAATGATCAAGCGATCTCTCTCCTGCCATCCATCTCCACCCTCTGACAAACAGATGCTGGGGACACCATATGAAGAGAGATTAAAAAGCCTGTGACTTTTCAGCTTAGAAAAGAGGAGACTAAGGGGTGATCTGATAGAAGTCTATAAAATCATGACGGGTGTGGAAAAAGCGAATAAGGAAAAGTTATTTACTTATTCCCTCAATATAAGAACTAGGGGTCACCAAATGAAATTAATAGGCAGCAGGTTTAAAACAAACAAGTTTTTCTTCAATCAGCACATAGTTAACCTCTGGAACTCCTTGCTAGAGGATGTGGTGAAAGCTAGGACTTTAACAGGGTTCAAAAAAGAGCTAGATAGATTCATGGAGGTTAGGTCCATCAATGGCTATTAGCCAGGTAGGTAGGAATGGTGTCTGTAGCCTGTGTTTGTCTGGAAATGGGTGACAGGGGAGGAATCCTGTGAGCTTTACTTGTGTTCCCTCCCTCTGGGGCATCTGGTATTGGCCACTGTCAGCAGCCAGGATACTGGGCTAGATGGACCATTGTTCTGATCCAGCATGGCCATTCTTACGTTCTTATTTAGTCTCATATATTGTCGCTGCATTCAACCTTACAGCTGGTATTCATTATTGTATTACATACTTCTGTGTATTTTGCTAATATAGTTACACTGAATGTAGATATGCAAATTCAGTATTATGAGAAAAAACTGAGTGCTAATATACTTTGAGCAAATAATAATTGATATGACTTATTTTCCCTTCCTAATATATAGGTATATCAAAATACGGAGAACAATATTTCTACATACTCTTCCAATTCCAAAACCAAATCACGTGAAAGCAGGGAAGATGAACCCTTTCCATCCAGTGTTCCATCCCAGGATGAAGATTCTGAGATCAAAAAATGACCTGGTTTCTGGATTTTACCTAGAAATTAATATAAGCTTTGTATATGATTAATGTTTTATGTCACCACTCTAAGTAAACAGATTATTTGCTGCTGCTACATTAGTGTTTCTTACAGGCAATTCCATCATCCTCATACCTTGCAGGGAAACTTTATTCAAATTCATTATTTTAAATCCAAAAATGCATTTACCACAAGCTAGGAGCAGTATGTATTTTTAATCAATGACTTTTTGATGCATCTACAACTGAAAGCCACCAAGTAACAGCCTTATGAAAGGCATGACATTCAAACTACTATATGCTGTGCACTGTAAGCAAACGTGGAAATCTTAAGACATTTTCAAACTTGCACGTTTAAAGTCATACACCAGAATCCTAAGGATCTGATTTTTCAGAAGTGCTGCTCACACACAGCTCCCATTGCACTTGATGAAGATTGAGAGTACAGAGCAGCTATGCAAATCAGGCCACTTGGATTTAAAGGCCTAACTTTAAACACCTGTGTTTGAAAAGATTGGCTGTTATTGCCAAGGACCTAATATGTTTTTCAGTAGTTCTGATCATTTGATTTGGGATCTTTTCAATTTTATATTTCCTGTGAGATGTACAGCTTGAATTCTTATACTTCTGTCAGGTGAACAACTTAATATTGAATGAGGCGATTCTTGATATTCATTTAGAGATATAATCATCTCTATGATTCAGCAACAATTCCATTCCCAGGAGTTTAAACAAAAGTTATGTCTATAATCCCACAGCACTGAAATAAGAATATAGCTCTCTTCCTGTTTTCCTGCTTGCTTCTAATGTGATTGCTCTTGAATATAGATTTGGAGATTCATTATTTTTCTGCTGATTTTATGGGATGTGTTGGTACAACTTCTATGACTGCTAATGAAAGATGTGTACATAGCTTTCAGTGAATCAAGAAGAGACTATGCTTCTCTAACCATTTTTCTCCTTCTGCTTCACAAGAACTGCTAACTGCATTCAGAACTTTCTTTGGTAACATGAATAGCTGTATCATTATTTTGATGAAATGCTATCCAATAAATCAAGCTGCTATTTACTAATAAAGCCCGACAAATTATTAAAAAATCTATTCTAATACAGCAATTGTGCATTGCAAATCTTGGTTAACATTTATTACAGAATTATCAGAAGGAAATGTTTTATACCTGATATAAAATTCTACCTTTGAAATGCAAATACAGCAATAATTTTTTTCAAGTATAACCAGATTTTTCTTGTTTTTGGAAAAAACAAACATGCTTAGTATGTATTCAGTTTTCTCAGTTTAGGGAATATGAATAATTTCAAAATACTCAGAAAAGGGACTGCATAGTTTAGCATGGTTGAGCACATGTCTTACAAGCAGGTGGAAAGGAAGGATTGTGAGCCTTCCACAGATAGTGTGTGCAATTTGGATAGGTTTCGGTGATATTTAAAGATCTACAAGATGAACTGGACATATGTTGCATGTCATTCATGTTATCTGCTGCTTGTGGAACACAACAGTGTATATAAACATTTTGGCTACATCTAGACTGGCATGATTTTCCACAAAGGCTTTTAACGGAAAAGTTTTTCCGTTAAAAACATTTGCAGAAAAGAGCATCTAGACTGGCACGGATGCTTTTCCACAAAAACACTTTTTGTGGAAAAGCATCTGTGCCAATCTAGACGTGGTTTTGCGCAAGAAAGCCCCGATCGCTATTTTCGCAATCAGGGCTTTTTTGGACAAAACTATACCGCGATGTCTACAGTGGCCCTCTTGTGCAAAAGCATTTGCACAAGAGGGCTTTTGCCCGATTGGGAGCAGCATAGCATTTCCGCAAGAACACTAACAATCTTACATGAGATCGTCAGTGTTCTTGCGGAAATTCAAGAGGCCAGTGTAGACAGCTGGCAAGTTTTTCCGCAAAAGCAGCTGCTTTTGTGGAAAAACTTGCCAGTCTAGACGCAGCCTTTGAGTTAGACTGTGTAGATGCACTGAACACAGGAGAAATCTTGCATGGGATACCTAGATCTCAGATCTGGACACACAGCCATGAGTGAGCCTGTGTATCTGCTATTCCCACCTTCAGAGTGCAGCAAAGCTGAGCTGAGACTCAGAGAGGGAATGGTGGCTCTTAGAGCAAAAATCTCTTCCCTGGATGTTCCTGGCTCAGCACAGCAAAGCACAGGCTCACTCACAGGCTTGTGCAAACCAAACCACAATATGTCCCTTTTAGATGGCCATCTTGAAATTCCATCTTTTGAAAAAAGTTAAGCTTGGTGTTAAACATGCTGGGTGCTCTACAGTGACATGTAGGTGCACAACAATGAGTGACAAAACACTGCAATCTCATACCGAGAAAAGTGCTAGTCACCTATACACTGGGCAATTAAAATGTTATTTCAGTCATTCCTAATGCCTCTCAGGGCATCAGGGTGAGGAGGTAGCACTATATGATTTTGTTTCTAGGGTGCTTTTCCCACATTTCACCCCAGAAGGGAACAGAGTGACCAAGAAATGTTTCCTTAAGAGACAACAGAATAAAATACTAGGTCTGAAAGGAAGACTGATCCAGTGTTGGCCTGGCATCCAGGAAGTCAAGGTTCAATGTCTTGCTCTGTCACACATTGTCTGCGTGATTTGGAGCTAGTTGGTTGTAGCCTCTCTGTGCCTCAGTTCCCCAACTGTTAAATAAGGATAATATCACTTCCCTATTGCACAAGGTTGTCATGAGAATGGATATGTTAAGGAATGTGAGCCCTCGGGAGTGGGCATTAATTTTGTATGGGGGCCACTCCAAGATTTTAGAAAGTGGTTGAGGGCTACACTCTTCCATTGTATTAATGGAGAAGGTGTGGGGTCTGGGATGGAGGTTGGGTGTAGAAGGGAGCTTTGGGATAAGGGACTGAAGGGCAGGAGGGAGAATGGAGTCTGGGACGGTGTTTGGGTGAAGGAGGCAGTTGTGACCTAGGGCAGGGAACTTTTTAGGATGTGACCTAGGGTAGGAGAGGATTGTGATCGCGGGCAGGAGATTGGGATGCCAGATCTGGAGGGAAGTATGTGTACATGTGGAGTAGTGGGGTAGAGGGTTGGGGAAGGAAGGGGCTGGGATGCCAAAGGCAGGTTCTGCTCAGGAGACTTACCAGCCAGCACCCAAGCCTGCCTGCCTGCAGAGCTAAAGGCTTTCAGAGATTAAAGTGTTTCTGCCTGCTGGGCCATGTGCTTGAGTGAGTAACTGAGCAGGAGGGTTGTGCTTTGGTGGCTGCCTGTTAGTCAAACAGGTAGCTCCCATTGGTCAGTTTCTGTCCAGAAACCAGCCAATGGGTTTGTATTAGGGTGGGAGCAGAGTCTGAATCCCCCCCCTCCCCTCTGGACTCATAAAGAGAAAGCATCCTGTAGCCACATTTCTGAGTGTCATGTGGGCCTGCAGGACAATCAGGGGAGCCTGCCCAGAGCTCCCCACCGCCTCCATGGGTCAAATTTTGCCCATGCCTGCCTCAGATACTGCTGTGAATGAGGCCATAAGTACTTGAAATAGCTATGTTTTACACATCTTTATAAAGGGTCAGTTGCTCTGAGGTTTGTTTATGGGACATGGGTAAAACCTATGGAATCAGCTTTCCAGTGAAAGCCATCCCCTGCTAGACAGATGGGGGAGGAGGGGACTTCAAAAGAACCATTAAACTAAGAAGCATTGAAGAACAGAGGAGAGGCATTCCAGAACTACACTGCTGGGTTAAATGCGGGGCTTGGCATTGTTAAAATACAGTCAAGTGTTATGAAGCACCCATGAGGATTCTCAGTTAATTACTTGATCCTGCCATGAGGGCAGGGGACTGGATTCGAATATCTCTCAAGGTCCCTTCCTGTCTTATGAGCTAGGTATATCTCCATATATTATTTTATTTAGCCCCTGCCGTTGTTTAATTAATGAACACTAGGTGGCGCCCCAAGATCACTTTTTTAGTTCTGTCCCGGGATAGCGTTGATATTGTCCCAGTCATTTCCATATAACTTATATAGCATTTTGCCCTCCTAAACCTCTGAACAAACACAACTTAATTATACCTCACGAGCATTTGTCTCCGGGCTCCTCCTATCCCCTCCCAAGTAAGGTCCATTGACTTCAATAGGCAATATAAACATTTTAAAAGCCTGTAACTGAATTAATAAAAGGAAAAAAACTATTTAAAATAATCTGCCTTGAGGCTTTTGGTCCAAATTCAGCATGGCTGCTTAATGTGATGGTGGCTCAAGATGGCCCATTTGCTTCATTCTCTTTGCTATGATTGATTGATATGGCCTCAGTTACCGGCCACTGGTGTAACTCTGGATAGTATTTAGTTCTATAGGTTTATTATTCAGCTACACTTTCTACATAGAAGCAGGTTGTTTAGTGCCATAGACAGTGGATTGGGAGACTGGAATCCTTGGGGCCTGGCCTGTTTTTTTGTCTGTCACTGTGAGAACTTGAGCAAGTCACTTGCACAATCTGTGCTTTCCCAGGCTAAACAAGGGGTAATCATTCTTCCCTACTTGTTTTGCCAGGGCCATACTCTCCCCTTACAGCATATAAGTGACTCCTATTGAAGGTGTGGAATCGAGCCCAGGAAGCTCCAAATGGCATCTTCAAATTGCACTCTAAACCCACACTTCACTGAGGGCTAACAGGGTCTAAATGTAGAGTTCAGCCAACTTAGTAGGGCAGTATGGGCCAGAGACAAAACCAGCTCCTTGGCTTCAATCTGAGTTGTAAGGTTAGTTGTGACCCTAACTCTTTCTGGGGTCTTGGCTAAGGATCTTTGCCTCAGTACTCCTAGGGTATGTTTACACAGCAGGGCTAGAGATGAATTAAGTTATGCAACTTCAGCTACGTCAATTGTCCACTCTTTCTTCAACTTCCCTTACTCCTCATGAAATGAGGGCTACCAAGAGTCGGAGTAGGTCCTCCAGCTCAACATTATTTTGAAATAAAGGCTTGTAGTGTAGACGTGCACTCAGGCTGCTGTGTAGATGTACCCCTTGGCTGTGTCTAGACTGGCAACTTTTTCCACAAAAGCAGCTGCTTTTGTGGAAAAAGTTGCCAGCTGTCTACACTGGCCGCTTGAATTTCCGCAAGAACACTGACTTCCTACTGTCTGAAATCAGTGCTTCTTGCGGAAATACTATGCTGCTCCCATTTGGGCAAAAGTCCTTTTGCGTAAAACTTTTGTGCAAAAGGGCCAGTGTAGACAGCTCAGATTTGTTTTGCGCAAAAAAGCCCCGATCGCAAAAATGGCCATCGGGGCTTTTTTGCGGAAAAGTGCATCTAGATTGGCATGGACGCTTTTCTGCAAAAAGTGCTTTTGTGGAAATGCATCTGTGCCAATCTAGATGCTCTTTTCTGCAAATGCTTCTAATGGAAAACTTTTCCGTTAAAAGCATTTGCGGAAAATCATGCCAGTCTAGACGTAGCCCTAGTGTGTAAAATAGTGACAGACTGCTTTACTCACTTCATTTGCACGCTTGTGCCTAGATGGGCACGTTGCATTGAATGGTGAAACTGCCTGCAAATCTGATGCTTTCTTTAGAAAAGAAAACAAAGGTCTGATCCTCCTCCCCTTGAAGTCAATGGGAAAGTTTCTTTTGGTTCCAATGGGCATGTCTCCATAGCAGGGCTAAAGTCAAAATAAGCTACACAACTTGAGCTATGTCAATTGTGTAGCTTAAGTCAAAATAGCTTATTTCGGCTTTTGGTGCTGTCTAAACAGCAGGAAGTCCGAGGAAGAGCACTCTTCCTCCAGCTTCCCTTATGCCGTGTAAAATGAGGGTTACAGGAGTCAAAGTAAGACTTCCAGCTCCACAATATTTAGCATTATGTCTAAATAACAGCTTGTAGTGTAGACATGGACTATGTTATTTCAGAATAGCATCAGTTATTAAGAAATAATACCGCTGTGTAGATGTACCTAATGGGAGCAGACTTGGGCCCTCTAAGGGTACGTCTACACTGCAAAACTATTTTGAAATAACTTAGTCCACGACTACACAGCAGGCAGTTATTTCAAAATAGTGTC